CTCCATCCTTTCTAAAATATAAAATATATTTCTTGGAAAAAGTTAAATTTCATTAACTTTGACCAAGTTCATAATCGAAAATATCGACATCCACAATACTAAATAAATAAAATATGAAAATTCATTTCATGATGAATCCAATGGTACCACTTTGAAAGTCAAACTTAAAAGAAGGTTTGACTTTTTAAAAAACTAATGCACCTTATATTTTCAAACAGAAGGAGTAAAACAATTATGGAAACTCAACAACACCAACGGTGCGGCAAAGCGCGCCAACCCTTCTAGTTTGTACTAATGGATGCAAAATTAACAAGCGGATCATATAAACTATGTCAACTCCTTTGATTACAGATTTGAGAAATAAAAAATTATCAAGCCAGCTACCGTAGTTGTCTACCCCTAACCCTAGACTGCTAGGGTAAACTCTTCCCTCCAGGTTTCATCAGTGAGCACATGGATTCGCTTCCCCTCTATCCGCTGCTTGGGCGGTCGGTGGAGGGGAGGGGCATCATGGTGCCTCCGCTTCGGTTAGTAGTTTAGGTCAGAGTTATATATTTCTTACATGTGCGGCGCTCGGGTGGATGGCGACGCTTTTTTGAGTTTGTCTTCCGGGTTCTGATGCTCCTCGAGTTTGTCCATCTGGACGTAGTCTGCGGAGCTTCGGGGTAGGTTCCTTCCACCCCTTTGGGCGGTGAGGTTAGGGTTTTTTGTCATGTGGCGAGATTTGGTGTCAGATGCTTCAGATCTAAGGGTTCAATGGCGACGACAGCAGCTCCAGAACGCGCTGGTCCTTAGAGACACGTGCACAAAGACTTTCCAACTATCATCGACAAGGTCAAGCACCTTTAACAATTGATCTGATCTTTTTCATAAACAAAAAAAACTACTGTAGTTGTACTTCATAGAATGGAGATAAGTGAGCATGAGAGCATCATACGAGTGGTTGTACTATATTGAACTGACTCCAACTTATTTGACACTAACGACAGTGCTTTCGTACACGGCAGCAAGCCGTCCTTTATCCTCTGGTGCATATCCACGCAACACCCTGGAAAAAGCAGGAGATATTGATCGATCGAAGGAAGACAGCATAGTGTGCCCGAACATGCATGCCGTCGGACAGCCGGCCCCCTATTCGTTTATCGACATCGGCGGTGGCGGCGTCGGCGTGTACACCCCCTGGCTGGCCTGGGGTCTCGGCGAGGGAGGCCTCCACACCGGCGTCCTATGCCCCAAGCGCCTGGCAGCTCCCACTGCCAGCTCCTTCCCCTCACGCGCCGCGCTCCGGCCGAAAGCACCGGCGTCGCCACCTAGCAGCAGCACTGCAATCACATCGAGGCACCCGATTCATTTCATATACACATGATAAGGCTAGGATTCGAAGCACCCAAAAGGATCTTTGATTGCATATGTGCATATATATACCTGGAGGGGGCGGCGGCAGGCGAAGTGCGGCGGCTGCGCATGGATAGGAGGCCAGCAGGAGGAGGAGGAGGACGGCGGCGGCGAGAAAACAGGTGGTTGTCCGTGGGTACATCGTGCCGTCTAGCGGGATCACAGAGCACTGGGCATGCACTGATGCTCCTACTACGGTTCGCTTAAATAACCACTGGTGAGACAGTGAGAGAGAAGAAGCTCTCTGAGACTCTCTACACGGCGTGAGCTGTTCGGCGATCTTTGGATCTTCGGCAGGAATTTGGATTGGGTTTTGCCCCTGCCCGTCTTGTCTCTTGCATACCTGTGTTGATCTTGAAGGCTTCATAGCCGCTTGTCCTGCCCTCCTACACGTGGTCGTGTGTATGCGATGCATATATGGCTAAGCTGCACCACACTAGAGGGTGATACACGCTTCGACGGCCAATCCGCGGTCATGAGTTAAGTTTTTCTTAACAGGCTATTATGTTTGAATAATACTAGCACACATGTCCATCCGTTGCAACGGGATAATAAAATTACATGCCTTTAGCTCAATATAAGAATGGATCAAGACTCCCACATGCCTGAATTCTCTAGTTCAACATGGCACCTTTTAATTAGAACCAAACTAGTATATTCTTTTTTATTGGCACGTGCCCATAATTTGTTTCATTTATAATTAATCAGCATATTCTCTTTTATTGGCACATGAAAGCTACCACTGTCAATAATTTATGGTGTCCCTTATTTTAAACGAGCCGACTTAGCTCGATGCGCCGGATGCAGAGCATGCCCAGTATGGGGGTGATCGAACTCACAACCTCAAAGACCCGACCACATGTTGCTAGCCACTCAAACAAACGTGTTTTGCTAACCAATTGTCAGCGTGAATATTAAAAAATATAATCCAATGTCAGATTCGAAACTTTTTTTTGAACTTTTCAAAAACTAATAACTATGAAATGCCAAATATACTTGGCAACGTGAACACATTTTCAAATAATGATTTTTTTAAATTCCACACCTTTTTAAAAAGGCGAATAAAAGATTTGAACGGAACATTTCCTGAAATTCACATACATTTCTTAAAAACATGACCTTCTTATAAAAATACAAACATTTTCAAGCCGTGGACATTTTTTTTAAATGGAAACATGTTTTAAACATGCAGAAGAATTTTTGAAAATGAGTTTCTTTAATGCAAACATTCTTTTCAATTTTTAAACATGTCGGTAAAACAAGAATATTTTTTGAATTTTTTTCAAATGAATTTGTTTAAATCTTGACTTTTTAAATACAAATTTTTTCTAAAAATTGGGAATATTTTTAAAATTTTGAACTAATTTTGGCACGACAAAAAAATCCAATCATTTTTTAGAATTGGAACACATTTTTGTAATTCTTAAATTTTTACGAAATTTTGAATAAAAATTGAAATTGCGAACATTTTTTTGAAAATTGTGAATTTCAGAAAAATAATTAAAAATAGACTTGCAATGGGAAAAATAAAAAAGAAACAGGAAATAAAAAGAGAACGAAACAGAAAAAAAATTGGAACAGAACACAAACAAAAATGGGCCGCCGAGTCTTGGGCGCCTTGTGCGTAGCTGAAACTATTTGCCGCATGAGCTGGAAATAGGATTTTCTTATTGCTGCGTGGGCAGGAAAAATGGGCTAACTTTACTGGGCCATAGGGCGCGGGGCCCATGGATGAAATTCTGCACAAATCATTTTTCCTTTGCTAATAGACGGACGTTTAGTACCACCTTGGATAAAAAAAGATCTTTTGACGGTGAACGGATGAAAAAAATCGAAGAAACGCACCTTGCTTTATTAGTAGGTAATAGACTACATCTACGAAGAGCCTAACGAAAGCTTGCGTAAACTTCCTAACTAAACCTCTGCCCCCTAATTTTCACGGGGTGGACCCCTTCCTCCCTGGTCCCTCCAACCCCAGCGCTCCATGTTTCCTTTTACATAAGAACTAGAACATGGAGGCGCGCGTTGCCACGCCCGCCAATATTAACAAAAGAACAACATGTTTGAGAAAATTTAGTCATTCAAAAAATTCAAGAAAATTGAAAGGTTCAAAATTACAATGTTGGGTGTGGATTTGGAATGATAATTTTGAATAATTCAAATTATGGAACGGATCGACGTGGTCGTTGCTGGCGTGCAACAATCACTTGCACCATCGGTGTTCTCCCGCAGCACGAGGAGATCTTGCAGAAGGTATTAGGGGTACAGTGCATCATATTAGGAATGTCAATTTGGGATATCCATGGGCTCGAAACATCAAACAAATTTGAGTTACTTTCGCCTATGTTCAGCATGTGTATTCAGGTGGCTGATCTTTTGGGAGGTGGCATGATCCAGAGTCATTTGCTAATACCTCTGCTAGAGTGATATCGCGATGATGTCTTTGGTGAACAAGATGCTTACGAAATGCAAGATGAAGCTACCCTGAAACAAATGCTTCATGAAGTGCTAGATCTAGGAAGAAGAAAACAACTGTATGTATGCATCCATCAGTTATTTATTTATTTTTTTATAATCCTTAGCCTTGCGAGCAGCAAGTTTTTTTTCTTTCCGGTACAAAAAAGAGTTCACAACAACAAAAACAAGCATTTTGACTTTGTTGCTTCTGAGACCT